AATGTATTTAATTACTTAAGGAAACAACATTGTGTAATGAGCATTTTTAGAAGATTTTCTACTTAGAATGCATAGTAATAGTGATGGTGGTCTGAATGCATGTACTTAAATGATGGAAAATCCTTTTTTTAATATTTTTACAAATCCTTTATCTAAATAATAAAAAATATTTCACTTTAGTATATATCTAACAGAAAATACTACCTTACACTGTATGTTCCTGCATCCATGGATGTTGATTGCACTCCTGTAACCTGTACAACACAAAGCACAGAGGGTTCGCCTGGAATTTTACTGCCTTTCTAAGGAGATAAAATTTATTTGCAAAGGGAGCCAGGCATCAAATCTTGATTAGAAGACATCCGAAAATGTCCCTTGATCATGCTGGCTAAAGGAAAAGCTTGGATTTGGATAGGCCAGGCTTTAATTTCCAATGAAAGTTCTCACTAATGCCTAGATAGTTCTTGTTAAAGCTTTGTCTCACAGATTTTAGCACTCACTGTTTTCTCACATGAAGTTACTGGCCACAGTAATCAAGTAATTTCTCAATGTTCTTTTGCCTTTAAATCTTTCACTCTAATTAACTTTCCAAAGAACTGTGATTATTTGCATCGGTCTTTTTCTGTTCATTCTCCAGCATTTCCATCTCCTTTAAAAAATACGGGCACCAGAAATGCACCCACTGTTCCTGCAAGTCTCAGCTATGCTGTCTCATTATTTCTCAAATAACCTTTCCTTCACTGTTCATAACTCCCAGTATCACCTTCCCCCACCATTATATCTGGTTATACACGTTTTGTCTGACTGGGCTTGAACTTAGAGGGCTGTCGTCATGGCTGTCTTCTTTACTCATTGTTTTGCTAAACTTTGTTATTTTCAGATTTTATTAGCAGTTATTTTTCGACTTAGTTTGGCAGAAACAGAAAAAGCACCAAATAATATTAAGCAGTATTGGACCTCATATCAGTACAGAACATGCTAGAAATATCTCCCTGAGGAAAATTATCTCTCTGCCTTCGTCATTAACATATACTAACAAGGGTTTCATTGTTACTAAAAGAGACAAGAACTTGAGTCGTATTATTGTGCTTTAAAAACTCAAATGAACGATTTCAGTGGCTTATTCCTTAAATCCTTGAAGATTTCAGTGGCTTATTCCTTAAATCATTGAAGATTTAACTCTTTGAACAAAATCCACACATACTTATCCAGCTGATGAGTGTTCTTTTATTACAAGAAATTGTCCAAAAAGGAAAGAGTCATTTTTACTAGAGGAAGAATGGGAGAAAATGCAATCTTTCCACAGAATTAGTTCCGTAATTTTTAAAAACTTGGAGGAAATTCAGGAAAAAATCCTGAAATGGGACAGGCATGTTGAGCAATGTTCATGAAACAGACTTAAGCTCAGTACAAGTATAGCAACGATTAGTGTTAAAATTTCCTTCTGTGTAGCTGACCCTCACTGAGATGCCCTGCATTTCTTTACAGCTAACGGAGGAGTCAGGGACCCAGGGAACCTAGGATGGTGAGCTAGGAACTACCCAAAGTAGCTTACTAGGATAGAGCAACGACGCAAGGTGATGCTCAGTCAGCCGTTGCTGGGAGTTAGATCCTTCCCTGCAAGCTAGCAGGAGCACTCTCCTACATAGATGGGGCTCACGGTCGCTTTGGACAGGACAGCTTCTGCGTATCAAACACACTTGTGGCATGTCCCGCTCGTTATCACACCCTGCATGAAGCGGTCTCAATGCTTCCTCCAGTTTGAAGCAGAAACACGAAGGTGGTTCTCCCAGTGAGCATCTCAGCTCCAAGGTGATGGGACTGTCTATGGCAAGCATCACACGCTCTCCCCTTGGCACTATCCCGACTCTGTGACACATTGTCCACTGGAGGACACCTACATCTCCCCCTTTGCCAGATTTGATGCTGGTCTTGCTCTTGGGCAGGGATGTCTGCCCATCTTGCAGAAAAAGAAGTGGATAGGCAGGAGGGAAAGCCCTGCGTGGTTAAAACTCTCACCACGGAGGAGGGAGAGCTGGGGTTAATCACCACTGCAGGTTCGGCAGATGAATGCCTCCAGTGGCAGATTCCCGGAGTTCAGATCACCAGGCTTTGGGAAAGTGGGACATGTCCGCCCCCTCCTGGCTGCATTTTGTGCAAGCTCCAGACCATTAGATGTGACTTACTGGAGTAGATACTAAAAACCCCATGGGTGGGGGGCACAGCCAACGTGCACTGCTGCAGTACAGCTGCAGCCAAGGTCTGGTGCACATGAAAGAGAAAAGTGCAGGAGCTGAACTTTTGCCAAGGTTCAGTAGTAGTTGAGTAGGTGTTTTGAATGTGTAGAATTTGGATTCGAGAGTGAAAGTCCCTTTACAGATCCAGCACTGACCTCTTTTATTTTTTTGCAGCTTTTCTTTGTCCGTGAGAACGAGATTTGGTTTGGTCAAATTCTGCAGAGTTTCTTGGAGTTCTCCCAAATACTGTTCTTATCTCAAAGTCTATTCAATGCATTTTATGAAGGTACAGGAAAAAAAAAAAAAAATCCTGTTGGAACAGTTGCAAAGAATGTATAAGTTTGCAGTCTAATGATAATGAAATCCCAGTCATTGAAAATTATTGGAATAGAGTTGGCAGCCTGGGCAAACTGTGTTAAATAATGTTTGCCACAACGCGGCAATAAAAAATGCCTGCAGCTGTAAGTCTGGGAGGCTGCACTCAGAAAAGTGGTTGAAATGGATTTATTGTGATCCTCTTCCAACTGGAAAGTCAACAGGAGGTTGCTACGCAATCACTTGGACTTCAGTTGTCAGTCTGGTGCCCTGAATTACAAGGTCGAGGTGATGCTGGGATGCTCCAGCAGGGCGTGTTGGAAGGTGCTAGCAGGTGGTATCTGTGCACGTGCTTTGGTGGGCTTGCAGCTGCTGTTACAGTGCACATGCTTCAAAACAGGTGTTCAAAAGTAGAAAAGTTCCAAAAATACAGGCCTGGAAATCCATTTTCTAAGGAAAGACCTGGACAGTTTTAGCTTCCCAGTCTACTCAAGAATAGTTTGAGAGTCATCTGATTATGGTTCATAAACGACTACACACAAGACCTTACCTCTAGCGGAAAAACAAACCAAGAAGAGTTCAACTCCACCATCCAACTAGCCTACAAGTAGTCACAGGCTGCTATTAGTTCATCCCTTAGCTTCTTGTTCCCTTCCTTAGCCTCCTCGGCCCCTCAGGGTCCTGACCATCTCATTACCCACCCTGTGCTGGACCCTCTCCAGCCTCCCCCAGTCTCCCCTGAACGGGGTGGTCCACATCTGGACTTGCAGCAGCAGCACGTGGAGCAGCACAGGAACACCCCCTGCTCTGCAGGCCATGGCTCTCCGAAGGCAGCCATGGTGAGGTGAGGGTGCACCGAGGGCTCACGCCCCACCTGGTGTCCCGTTGATCGCAAGAGCTCAAGGGCGCCAAAGCCCGGCTCTGCGGGGTGAACGACCTGCCAGAAGACTCCCTGTCTGTACGTTCACCAAGTAGAAGCTTCCAGTAAACAGAGATGTCTTTCTGCACGTGACAGAAAACACAATTTGCATAGAGAAACGAAGTGAAATTTCAGTTTGAGTAAGTGACGGCGATCTCCGCCCAGCACCAGGCCTCCTTGTTGCTAAACTAGGCAAGGGTGTGTAAGCATCCGGCACAATTTAGGTTACGTGGGTATTTTAAAACCACTTGCTGACTTCTGAGGACTTCACATCCAAATGATCATGCGCCAACACACGCTGCAATAGAAGTAATCGGGTTTTTAAAAGATTCAGGTTGCATGGATAATAGGTTTTTTCATACGGTCTGAAAAAAGTACTTTAAAAGAACGGATCTTTATTTGAGAGAGGCAATATTTAGTAATAGTAGCAGAGGTAGCATGTGGTAGCATGTATTTCAGAAGTGCCTTCATTTCTAAGGCTAGCACATTTAAAAGTTTAAAAGTCCCGATTGCTCTTCTCTGAAAAATGTTTACGTTCTGAGAAGAAAAACTTTTATGAGCATTTCTTTGGGAGAACAGTTACTTATCTCCATAGTTAAATATAATTCACGAATTTTCTGAAGTTCATTGAACTAATAAACAGCCAAGTGTATTAGGTCATGTTCTCTAAAGCGCAGAACATCTTACCTGTATGAATAAACCTTACTTGCCATCAGGTCCTCAGTAATTTTCTTACTGTAAAACCTCTCCATACTTCAGCAATTTTGGCCTAATAAGACTCTCTTCTTCTGCCAAGTTCTTCCCTGATCAGTGAGATGTTATACAAGACAATTTGCTTAATTCTTGTTACAAGCCCCCGTGGTCACAAACTAAGGCTGTAGCACAGAAGCTTATTCTTGATTCAGATTGATAAAATCTCACCATTTATGGAAAGATCAGTCCACCAAAGGTCCGAATATATTCCATAAAACTAGCCAGTGGCTCCACAAAATACCCACCTAATACAAAATTGAAAATGCGTTCCATGAAGAATGCAAGTGCATCTAACTCACAGCACGACTTTTTTGCTGTGTTTTGGCAATGTGCATCCGGAACGGGATGTCTTCGACCACCAGGCCCTTCCTCTGCTGCCACGGGCACTGCGTGACGCCCTGGCATACGGAGCCACGCGTCAGGAACGCCCCCAGGAGCCACCCTGCTGCAGAAGCACTTCTCCGAGTGGCAGTTTCCCCTTTGAGGTCTCCCCGCTCAGAGATTACGGAGAAGGTCCTTTGAAGGTCCCTTCCAGCCCTAATCATTCTATGATTCTATGATTCTAAGGCTTGTAGCTGCTTCCTGACAGCAGCAGGAAAGGATAAGTCACCATCTTGCCTGTTGTTGCTTTCAAAAAAAAAAAAAAAAGCTGAACTAGCAGCTCTGGAAACACATGACCCTTTTTGTGCGGCCTCGGTCTTCTGCGTGAGTGTGTCTTGTTCCTCCGCGCGGTGGCTGCACGCCCACCAACGTCAGCATTGCCCTGCTCCTTACAGGAACCGCCACCGCGTACGCCGAGCTGCGCCTGAAGCCCAGACCCAACGGGAGCAGCAGATCAGAGACTTCCGCTTCTGGTAGCGTGCTGGTTTGTTTGGTTGTTGGTTGCTAATTATAGATCCAGTCTGTCCTATCACCCAACAGCAAAACCTGTTATCGACAGTCTTTACGTACAATCTCTCGATAAAGAATAGATTTATCATTTCTTTTTTTTTTTTTTTTTTTTTGTCTGGGTTCTCAGATTATACACTTGTAAAAATAATACTGAAAAAAGATTTTTAAAGTGATTTTTCAAAATGCCTTGGTGCCCTACATTGAAAATTTAGCAAAGGAAAGCAAAATTCCACATGTTTTTTAGGAAGCCCCCGTAAGTGCCTCTGCAGGAAGAGTCTCTGCAGGACACACTTGGCTTTGGAAGCCCCATGATACCCAGCTCTCTATCTGCAGCTGGTGCACTCCTGATTGCCACTGTCTCTGTACCGAAGGGCACGTGCCCGACAGGGCAGGGACGTCAGAGAGCTGACGGGGAACATGACACAATACATCCCGGGCACACAATACATCCCGGGCAGCCGGAGAACGGGGCGGCTGCTCCTTCACGCAGGCACAGCAGGAAAACAGCAGTTACCAAAGTGCAACTCTGTGGCTTGTGGAGATGGCCCCTGGACCCCACATCTCCTCGGGTCCTGCCCCCTCCTGAGTGTTTTTTGTCTTTTCTCTGCATTCAAGCAAATTAACTTCCAGGCGCACAAGAGGCACTTTAGCAGAGGAGAGTGTGACCAGAGAGGAGGAACACGGCGCAGACCGTCCCCGATGCTTCCCCCGAACTGCTCTGCAGGGTCTCACAGGCTGTGGGTGGGAGGAGGCAACACATGAAAAAATTAACTCAGAGGAGAAAGAGAGAACTCTTAATGGGATGATTGATTGTTAACCACTTGCTCCATCTGATAAAATAATCTTTAGATCTCACTTTCGTGTATGCAAAATGGATGCAAATTTTTGATGAGTAAAACGTCCCCGCATACCTCAAACAGCAGGCTGATTTCAGGCAGATGAGTTATCTGCTGTTTCCACATCAGAAAGTGGCATACACAAAGGCAGTGTCAACTTAATGGGATGATTGATTGTTAACCACTTGCTCCATCTGATAAAATAATCTTTAGATCTCACTTTCGTGTATGCAAAATGGATGCAAATTTTTGATGAGTAAAACGTCCCCGCATACCTCAAACAGCAGGCTGATTTCAGGCAGATGAGTTATCTGCTGTTTCCACATCAGAAAGTGGCATACACAAAGGCAGTGTCAATTTTATGGCGCTGGTCCTGGGGTTCCTCCTGCTCGTCCTGCTGGGTGCCATCGCCGTGCTGGCCAGGCAACGTGAGTAGATCCCGCCATCCGCTGCATCGCCTTGCTGCAGGCGTGGTCCTTGACTTTGTTGTTAACCACAATCTCTTTTTTTTTGTTGTTCAAGTTTTGCAGGGAAGAGCAGGAGAATCAGAATGTTTGTCCCAGTACGGCCAAAATAGCACTGGTGAGAGCATTTCTTCAGAGAAAACTGTCTCGGTGCCGCTCCTGAAATGGCTCATGGAGGAACTCTGTGAAGATGGACAGGGTGAGGAAAGTCAGTCCTCTCGTAGCACAGAGGACGTGTTGCGTGCACGCTTCTGTTGTCTCCATTCCCATTTCTGTGACACCCTGCAGTTTATGGGAAATGGCCGGTACCACCCCGGCAGCATGGCGTTCCTGCCTAGGGGCGATGCCAGGATCGAAACGAACATGTTAATGACAATAGTGTTGCTCCTCTCTCAGCATAAATAGTTTCTGTTACTTTCTGTACATTTCTTTCTGCCAGGAGCTGCGGTCAGAAATGCTGTACGTCATATATCCTCCTCTGGTGCTGGAGAACACCTTCCAGACAACAATTGCTAAGGAGGGAACTTGGCTTTCCTATCCTTTTGCAAGGATCAGGCAGGGAAAGACCTTCCTAGTCTTTTCACTGCGGGTCTGTTATTTGTTGGCAAATGCCAACATGCTTTTCTAAGGATGGATTGTAATGACATTACTTTGAAGCATTAGAGGAAGCCAAGTCAGAAAATGTGGGATGCTCTGAGTGAAATGGGAAGCAGACCCGGGAATAACAGTGTTCCCCTTATTTAACACAGTTCCTTCTCCAGCTCCGTGGACACAGTCTCAACGTCATTTAATCAGCTGTGCTTTCCGGTCACATCCACACGCTCCACCTCACGTCACGTCGCGCAGTGTCTCCTCACAAGGGCTGCGTGTGGGAGGAGAAGTGTCTTCACAGCCCTCTGTGTCCTCCCCATGCTCCCCACCGGGCAGATGCCCAGCGATGGAGAGCCAGTGGGAGTGCACAGCACCATGGCAAGGGAGTGGGGAGGTGAAGAGTGGCACCGGAGCCTTCAAAGCTCTCTCCACACCCACTGAACCCATGCTCGGGAGAGGGGACTGGCTGGTTTT